TGGAAAGGAATTATTCCTCCCCGATTAGGCGAGATTTGATTAATTAGGGATTTGATTTATTTGATTTAAATCAAATCCCTAATTGGGGTAGGAATCAAATCAATCCCCATTTTAATTAGGTAATTGCCAATTTAATTGGGTAACTCCCAATTAAATTGAGTAACTCCCAATTAGGGCAAATAATCCCCAAATGGAAGGAATTATTTGACCTAGGGTGATTTAATTCGGTTCCCACACTGAGCCTGAGTCTAAACTTTTAATCGTAATAGGTTGATTTAGACCGCAGCAACTATGAACGATTCCTAGATGTGACTCTTACTAGGGACAACAACATCACCACTGGGAAGATATATCAGGTGTGTGTGCTTATATTTTCCTAACATCTATCCCCTTAATGAAATGTTGATATTTTCTTTTAATGGGTTGCCTCATTTTTATTTTTTGAAATCAGTCTGTGCTGGATAAGGAGGGGATAGGCGATTACCTTGGAAAGACTATTCAGGTGATAATACAAAATTATAAATGTTAATGAATTCATAACTTTATTTATTTTATTTTTTTCTTTCTCTCACTTGCATAGAGTACTGATGGCTGGCTTCCTGCCATGTTTGACTCGATTTAGGTTGTTCCACACATCAATGCCATTAAGACTTGGATTGAATCAGTTTCTCTCATTCCTGTCGATGGAAAAGAGTGCCCTGCAGATGTTTATGTTATAGAGTTGGGTGGGACTGTGGGTAAGCGATAGTTAAAACATAGATACGCTATATGACTCATTGTTCTCTTTCTGTGTTTATATGCAAGAGCTAACTATTTTCTGTATTGTTAGGTGACAGTGAATCCATGCCATTCATTGAGGCTCTGCGCCAATTGTCTTTTTCAGTTGGTAAGGTTGTGGTATATGGCTGTTTTTTGAGGAACTATGAGATCTCTTCGCCCACGTGCTTGATTCGGATTGTTGATTATGTTTTTATGCGGTGTGGTCAAAATAGATCATTCAATTATTGCTATTGGAATATGAAGTGAGATCTGATTAGGATATGTTTACATTGTTGTAACTTAAACCTGCTAAACAAAGCATGATGCAACTATTTGGACCTCCATGTCTATATAAATAGTACCATTTTCCCTACATATTTGAACGACTTTGGACACATTGCATTGCGTGGGCTCCTTTGCTAGTATCTTCTAAAAGTGATAGTGACATTTTTTATGCCACCATCCACCCCACCCATGCCCGGCCCACACATGGGGTCCCATTCATTTTGGACCCCTTGTGCAAGTATACAAAAGTTGTGGGCCCTTATAAATTTCAAATTTTACTATTTGGCCCCAAACTTTTATTAATTGTGGTTTTACCCCTACTCAAGAGAGGACAAAACAATTTCGTCCTTTTGTGATAAATATTATTTGAATATGCTAATGCCATTTCATTTGGACCCTTATGTGAATTCAAAATCCATAACTTAGTAGTTGCATTCCATTTTATTTAATGAGATTAAGTAAAGAAAAGGGGTGGTTATGAACTTAGGCCATAAAACTAATTGAGCTATGTAATTGGCCGCTTATTCATTACAAATGAATGGATGATTGAAATGGTTTGTAACCTAATAGCTCATTAGGTTATTCGTTTTAATTAAGTTGTAATTAAATATAGGCTTACATGTCTCTTCTCCCTCATACTCTAATGTGACCTTCTAACCCTCTCCCTATGTAAATCCCTCAAACTCATTGAGTTAGAGTTCTTCTTTCAAAAGTTAAATGTAATTATAGAAGTAGGATATCATTAGGAGAAGAATGAAGGAGAAGGAGAACCTCAAGGCTTAATGATTGGGTCCAATGCCCATTAACCTTGTATGTATAAACATCAACGCATAATTAAAACAGATCAAAATCAACCTCAATGAATGCATAGCAATCTAATCTCACATGCTAACTTTGTCATTTGGGGATTTTTTATTTTTTTTTTATAATACAAAATCATCAATCTTTGGACGAAAAATCAACAAAAAGGGGTTTTGTGAAAACAATTTAAAACCTCATGGGTGTTTGTATAATTTTTGAAACCTCATGGGGCTTTGTGAAAAAAAAAAACTTGAGGGGTGTTAGTGTAAATTAGTCTTTGGGCGAGACAAGTTTCTCAGCCTACATTCTAGGTCGAACCCAAATTCCCGTATTTTGGGCCTCTTTTTAAAACATGGTTTGTAATTAAGGTTCATCTAGCCGAGACTTTTCCAGAATCGAGCTAGACTAATTCCACAATTTAGGTTTGTTAAAAAAAAAAATTCCACAATTGCTGAAATTCATGACAAGGGCCCATGAATTTTATTAGGCCCACTTAAAACATTTTCCAGGTCCAAACAAAGACAATCTTAACATGTAAGATGGAAGGTCATCCCTGCTCAGAACATGCATGAGTGAGAATGGGTGAAAACTGAAAATAGAGAATGGGTTATTTTTATACTCCGTTTGATAACAATTCATTTTCAGTTTTCATTTCCACCTTTTTAAAAAAAAAAACTGAAAACTGAAAAATGTTTGGTAACATATTTCTTTTTATGTTTTCAAAAAAATTTGGCAACAAATTTCTTTTTATGTTTTAAAAAATGTTTAATAACTATATCTGACCGAGCCTCTTCAACAAGTACGTGACAAGGAAAACAACACTCGACCGAAGGTGTCCCTTGCTTAACCTAACGACTAGTGGATATGTTTGCCTTCATAACGTGGCCTCGCCGTTAGTAGGTCCACCTGCTGTGCCAGCTCAACAAAGGCACTTGCTGTGCCACTCAAGCCTAAGGGTACATGTCAACCTTCCATGCAACACCATGACTCCCTCACACAAAGTACCTCTCACTCTTTCTCTATAAATAGGCCACTCACCTCAATGCACCAAGTAATAGTAAATTTGGCACGTGCATATTTGGTTTGTCAAATTACTATGTTAAATTTGGCAAGCGATATCTCCCAATGCCTATGTTCTAAATTGTCAAATCCAAGAGAACATCATTGTGGCCCATGAGATGCGAATCCAAGATTCGAAATCCAGATGGGCAAAACTTACATTAAAAACTCGACGGTACGAGTGAATTTCATTAATAAACATAAAACGATGCACCTAGTCATGGGGCCGTAATGAGTCTTACAATGTTGTCATATACAACATCTTAAAATTAAAAATGCATACATGTATTTTAAGAGAAACCCAATAGGAGAAGATAATTAAAGAGGAGAAAAATTTGAGGGTAGGTAATTAAAGAAAAGATCATTACATATGGAGATAATTCAAAAGAAGAAGATGATTCAAGATAAGAAAAATTTTGGGTTATGCATACATGTGGGTTGCTTTTTGGGTGGGAATAGGTTTGTATGTTTCACATGGGCTAAGCTATTACATATGGGTATTTTTTTTCCCTTTTGAAAATTTGGGGTAGGCAGCAACCTACATTATTAAGAATATTATTGTAATATATTTACTTTCCTAAGTTAGTCTTGGACAAATCCCACCAAAGGTGGATCATGGCTTTTAATGTTAGAAATGTGCCCTAAGAGCCAATACATTTGATGTAATCTCCTTAGAATACATTTTAGAATACATTTCGTATATGATATATAAAGGGCAAACTTATTTGTTATCTTTTACATCGTGTAAAGAAACAAATGTCCCGGGTATGCTAAATAAGAGATAAAGTAATCTAAAGAAGATTAGATTCATGAGACCTTTAATCTCTAACTGTAGTATCCCAAAATGTTTCTAATCATAAGGTTATCAAATGGGCATTGATAAACCGTCAAGATTGGCACATATTATGTATGCTCAATAATGAGGATGGTTGGTCTCAAACCATTTGTGTAGTTGACACTAATACAAGTACGTGGGTGCTCATTAGTGAATGAGTACACTGAACGCGATCAACCGTAGTTCTCGTATGGAGTATTTATCTATATGTCAAACGAGAACTCATAGTTGCAATAATGCAAATTAGTCCTTAGACCTGAGGCATCATGGTTGTCCTGTGATGCGTTATTGATCTTTGATAGCTCTTAAAGGCAAGCCGTAAAAGATTTGTCTTAAGTGTTGTTGGGATCTCTTAATTCATCATAGGGGCATGTGAATGTACAATAAGGAATCTCTACCTCTGATAAGAAAAGGAGGATGTTTCAAGATATGATTCAGTGAATCTTCGGCCGAAGTACTTGAACATGATTTAGAAAGTGGTTTTTTAATTGTGTTCTATTGAATCACATGAGGTTAATCATATTAGGGGTTTGACATTATCAATCCGTACCCTAACAATATGATTGGAAACATTATATACGAGAAGGACCGTATTGCATTGCAATTCCAACTGAATAGGTTCTTCATCTATTCTAATTAGCTTTGGGTAGTCATGATTTATTGCTAGATGTCACTCTTGACTTGTGGAAGTCCTAGGATTGATAGTGATCAATCCAAATAAAGGAAGAATTAAAAGGGGGTTTTAATTCCAGTTGGTTAGAAAGAGTTCTAATATTTTCCCACTGCCTTGCTAAATTAGAACCTAATGGATCGCACACCTTAAATGGTTAAACTTTGAGTAATACAAATGAGAATGAGGAAATCAATTTGTTTGATTTGATGTGGATGATTTACTACGTGTAAAAATGTATTTGGGCCTCGGTAATAGTTAATGAGAAGCCCAAATGGTTGGGTATCAAGCCCAAGGACTTAAGACACCTAAATATTATGGTTTAAGTGTCATAAGGCCCAAGTTTGGAAGCCCAATGGGGTTTGGCCGAAAATGCATAAGTAGATGTGTATGGAAATTGTTTCCACAAGCTTATTGACACACAAACACAATCCAACATCAACCAAATAGGTTTGGTAGATCAAAGAGAGAAAAAGGATAGTTTTCAAGAGTGAAACACTTTCATCTTTCAAAGGGGTTTAGATTGAAACCAATCTTGAGAATCTTGCACTAGCATCCTTGTATTCTCAAGATACTTCTTCTCATCTCAAGGTTCCATTGGTGTGGAGACTTAGAGGCCATATCCTTTTGTGCCTCACAAGAAGGAGAAAGATCAAAGAGGAGATCTACAAAGAGAAATCATCAAGAGAAGACCAAAACACAACTTGGTTCATATTATAGCTTCAAGGGTAATGAGAACTTATCCCTTTCTCTTGTACTTTCACTTTATGAAATCATATCAATGTTCATGGCTTAAGATACTTGGAAGAAGTTTTGTTTTGAATTTAAACAACCACCATATTCTTCCGCTGCGATTAATTTGATTAATTGTATGTTTAATATTCAAATGAACTTCTTAAAAATGTTTTAAAACCAACATCCAAGCCTTAGAAATATGCATGATTGAATAATGTACATGTATATATATTGTGTACTGTTGACGTTTGTGAATACAAGGAAAATATTCAGCAAATTCTTGATTGCTTATTCTCTAAGATGGTATTAGAATACCATCCTGGTGCCTAATTACTTGACTTTTTCAAAACCCTAGCACATCTTTAAACACCATGGCAGATGAAGATCAAACACCACTAGAAAACGAAAAATCCAATTCCAACAATTTAAGCACCAACAACAATAATTCCAATATGGATTTATCAAACCCATACTTTGTTCATTATTCAAATCACCCTATTCACATGATTCTTCCAACAAAATTGAATGGCGCCAATTATCCATCTTGGAGTAAATCCATGATTAATGCTGTCACAGCCAAGAACAAAGTTGTCTTTGTCAATAGATCCATTCAAACTCTTTTAGAAAGAGAACAACCAACAAAATATGCTCTCTAGAATCAATGCAACAGTATGGTTTTATCATGGCTTACTCACTCAGAAGAACCCGATCTAGCCAAAGGGGTTCATGCCAATACCACCCACCAAATGTGGG